AATTGGTGATGGCCCGGAGATCGCATTTCCAACTGTGTGACGAATATTGGCGACGCCCGCATGATGAGCCGCTTGTACCGTTCGCTTTTGGCCTTGCCTGATCACCATATTCACTGCCCAAAAATTCGGCCTGTGAAGGTTGTTCCGATTCATAGGCAGACGCAAGGGCCCAGGGGCCTAAGGACCTTAAACCCTAAGTACGGCCAAGACCCGACATGTCGTACATACCCGACTCTTGGCATGTACCCGCACCTTTCCACCACCCCACACCATACACAGTCGGGGGCTATATTCACCAGGAGCATCGCCATATTCTGTAAGATGTTGAAACCCCCAGGAAACGCAGCAACTCCTTTTCCTTTCCCCTCTCCTCTCCCTTGCTTCCCCCTTTCTCCCTTCCTCTTCTTCCCCTTTCATTCCCCCACATCTTTGGACGCTTGCCTGGCTGGCCAGCGGATCCCAGCATTTTTCTGCGCACGTCAATATATCATTCTTCATTTAAAAAATTGTAAAGCAATTACACCTGCTACAACATTGTTGACGGCATCCCCATTGTGTGTCACCATTTTTTATTGGCACTACGGTATTCTGGTGTGCCGAGACAATGGGCAGGCCGAGGCGAGTGCGAACAGCTTTTCGGTACACATCCCATATTGGGTGTGGGATGTTCCTGGCATCTGTGTGCCTGTTTGCGCAATCCTACTCCTAATGTGATCCGCATGCAGTTACCCCCCAGTCCAGTTCTCCGGTCTCGTCTTCGAATGTAGACATGTAATATGATGCACGCACGCGCAGTGGCATTGCCTGACTTCCATTATGGGTTTTCGATTCAGGTCCGCCATCCGCGGTGAGCATGCGAGTACGCGAGTGAATGTAGGTAGGCCTATACCGCTGCCGCCTTGTTTGCAGTAACGAAGCACGGCACTGTCGACTGCACACACGACGACTGCACACAAGCGGACCGCGTTCAGCTGGGAAACCGTGATATACTGACGAGGCGGAGTTGAAAGCGTTCGCGCAAAGCGGTATGATGCAGCGCCATTCCCAAAGCCCGTATTAGATGCCGGTGGTGGGTGCGGAACCTGAGCGATCACTGAGAAATTGACTGGGGTGACTGGAAGAGGGTGTCCCGAAATATCGGGGAAGGCAGGGTCTGCCGGGTGGCGGCGGCAGGGTGAAGATATGACCCCCCTGTCCCACACATCATACGCTCCCAGTCGACCCAGTCGACCCGGGTTCAAATCCGCCTGCCGGCTCCTCGGGTGTTTGAGGAGTGATGTAATGGGAGGTGGCCCCCCATCATATGGACGGTGTAGGACGTGATAATATCAACTTGCGAGCTGACCAGGAACTAAGTTGATGCGCCGTTGATCCGCTAGATTTGGTTGGATGCTGGTGGTGAGTTGCCGAACCCAACGAATACATTCTGAAGTCGGATGGGGTGACGGATTAGGGTGCCCCTCTAGCAGGGGAGAGCAGGGACTGCCCCGGGAAAGGGGGCCGCTGGCGAAGTTAACCACCCTGTAACAACATACATACGTGCTCCCAAGCCTCGCTCTGCTCACTGGATCTACTTAACTAGCAGAATATATCGTAGTACTTGTGTCGTACGATGCATTTACCACAGATCATCCATAACGAACACTT